GAGAAGTGAAGCCAAATCGTCATTCTTGACTCCTAATCCTTATGCCACTTCTAATCGTTCAGGTTTTATCCTGAGGGAAAAGGAGTCATTAAAAGAAAGAAACAGGAAAAGAAATTGAAGAAACACCAAAAGGAATAATCCAGAGACCAATAAGGCGGCCAAGAGTTGCTCTCATAAAAATGATATCAAGAAAATTAGAAGCCAAGCTACAGATTAGGAGAAAATACTTGCAAGACACATCTGATAAGACTTTGTATACTCAAAACACACAAAGAACTCTTAAAGCTCAACAAGACAATAACCCAATTAAAAACTGGGCCAAAGACCTTAATATTTTACCAAAGAAAATATATAAAAATATGCTCCATATTATGTTCCCAGGGAAATAACAAATTAAAACAAGGCACCACTACACATCTACCAGAATGACCAAAATCCAACATCACCAAATGCTGGTAAGATGTAGAGTATCAAGAACTCTCATGTTACTGGTGGAAATTCAAAATGATACAGCCATTTTGGAAGACAGCCTGGCAATTTCTTACATTAAACATATTTTTACCATACAATCCAGCAATCACACTCCTCAGCACTTACTCAAAGGAGTTTAAAACTTGTGTCCACACAGAAATCTACACACGGATGTTTATAGGAGCTTTATTCATAATTAACAAAACCTGGAAATGACTAAGATGTCCTTTAGTAGATGAATGGGTAAACTGTGGTACATCCAATGGAATGTTATCCAGTGTAAAAAAAAAAAAAAGCTATCAAGACATAAAAAGACATTGGAGGAAATTTAAATGCATATTACTAACTGAAAAAAAGCAAATCTGAAAAGGTTATATACTATCTGATTCCAACAATGTGGCACTCTGGAAAAGTTAATACCATGGAGAAAATAGTGTTTGCCAGGAGTGGGAGATGAATAGGCAGAACAGAGAGGATTCTTAAGGTAGTGAAAACACTCTGTATAGTGATGACTATGTGATTATACTTCTATCCAAACCCGTAGAACATTCACCACCAAGAATGAACACTAAGATAAACTATGGACTTTGGGTGATTATATCAATATATGTTCATTCTTGGTTTAAAAAAAAAACCTTTATGGTGAATGTTGATACAAGGAGAGACTATACCTGTGTGGGGGTAGAGTATGTGAAAAATCCCTATTCTTTCATCTTCATTTGCTGTATGCTCTTAAACTCCAAAAAAAAAGGTAGGAATTGGTGGGATTCCAGAACGTAGTAAAAGGGGTTAGATCCAAAGTAGGAGTGTAAATACAGGTTTGTAGATATGGTATCTGAAAGTTAAAGGCCTTGGCTTTTACTATCTTCATAAATTAGAAAGCAGACATCAAGACAAGGGCATGTGTAGTAGTAGCAGGGAGTGATGAAAGTGAACAAAGATTTGAAGAGATTTGGAACAAATGAGTGGAAAGGGTGACTATACTTAAGATCTGCGTTGCAACATCATGAACCCAACAAGGGCTGAAACATGGAAATGTTATACATCTACAGGGTATGATTACAGTTAGAGATACCAATTTGCAAGGTTGTATAACTGTCTTTAGTAGTATGGCTCTAAAACCATTATTTTTCAGAGAGAAAAAATAATCACTCAATTTATTTAGCACCTACTACTTAAGTAATGTGCCAAAGACTTTCATGAAGAGAACTTCCAGGAGTCAATAGATTAAAGCAGAGGGGTAAAAGATATCATGAGGCCAAATGTAGCAAAAGTATTTACAAATTGCTTTTTAATGAACAGCTCTCAAACTGATTCAAACTCCAGGTACAAATAATCTGGAAGAATGAACACCACACTCACTTCGGACAACTACAGAAACTACCTTTGTGGAGAACCAGGTTTTAAGTCTTGATGAATACAGAATTCAGTGACATGAAAACATGGGCATAACAAGTTTTTGAGGGAGAGGAGCAATGTCTTACAATTGGGAGAAAATAGAAAATATTGAGATATTTACAGGAAGGTGACCAAGGAAAATAAAGGTCTGAGATATAGAGGGTTTTCAAAAACATTTTAAGCTAGCCCTGGTGAACAGAATTCTGGTTTTAACTTGACCAAATCGAAGAGCAATCGGGACCAATTATGGTTCTGGATCCTAATATCCCTCCATATCACCAAATTAATATTGACGAGGAAAAACAGTGGCAGTCTCTAGTATGGCCAATACAAATTTTGAGTACTTCCTGAAGATGTATGGAATGCAAAATTGCAGCTAAAAAATCAAAGGCACTCCAATTCCTAGAGAAAATGTGTATCCCTAATGTGGTATTCAAGGACCTTTACATGTTAGCCTGAAATTGTTCTATTCTTTACAACTTTTATTCACATAACTCTATACTGTTTTCCAAGTCTTTCCTCTTTTTCCAAATTGTTCAAATCCAAGCAATCCTTCAAGACCTAGTTCGAATGCCACCTTTCCCTCACAATAGTAGATGGCCACCTTCCTCCAAACGACTTCCATTGGGGGATTTTTCTTCATGTTAGCATTTATCCTTAGGCTCTACAGATAAAGACTTAAGTTTTTTCTTTAAAACCTTAGTACTCAGTATCACATTTTCTAAATGAGTCTTACAGATTGAGAATGGACTAAACCATGTGTAAAAAACAAAAAGTTAAACTTTTGAATCTTTTCCTGCCTTTTACCATGCTTATATTAGAGGGCTGGCATCACCTAACTACACCAGGGATCGTCCAGTCACAGTAATTCATAATACCAGTTATTCTCAAGTTGTTTTGAGCCAAATTCTTGCCTTATAACTAGTCCCTATACTATCCACCAACCCATCACCTTCACACAACTTAGAATGAGCTTTAAAAAATCATAAACAGTATGTCACTCACCAGCTCAAAGTCCTCAATGAATCTCATAGAATAAAATTCAAACCATGGTCCTGTTCTGGTCCATCTATCATTCCATTCTGCACTCACCTCTTCACACACACTCCTCCTAGTCCACCACTCACACTTCATTTTTCTGTAGTTCCTCCAAGATGCTAAACTTTCCCAACTCAGTTTCTGCACCTACTTATTACCCCTCTGCCTGGAATAGTTAGCCTACAAAACTTTTTGCAAGGACTTCTTAAATCTTCGGCTCTAAGCTCCCTTCTCAGATGCATTTCCTGTCTATCTGTACATAGGACAGAACCGAAGCATATAATAGGCATATATGTATTCATTTACTAAATAAAACCTTTAGGTTTTCAGTATCTGCCTGCCCCCATCCCAAGTCTTACCATTTCTACTGGTCTAAAAAGGCTAACTTCTTTTACCTTTAGTAATCTTTTCTCATAAGCCTAGAAAATGTATTACTATCATTCCAGAGATGTAACTTGCTCAAGGCAATAAAATAGTAAAATGATGGAGAATGATTGTGGGTTCTAATCAAATGCTTTCTAAACCATTATACTTCTGGCTCTATCTATCTGTTCAACCTCAATTAACATTTTAACACATACCTCATATAACTGCGGTCTAAACATCTTCATTTACCCCTTAAATACTTTCTCCCAATATAGTTCATATTTAAAAAAATAACTTGCCTTATATTTCCCAAGGTGCACTAAAAACTGCTCAGGATGGCTGATACATATAATTCGTTCTCAATATAAATTGTTCAGGATACAACTTAATAAAATGGGCTCAGACAAGTATCTTAATAAATGAAAAATTTTATTCATCTTTGTAAATAATGGGCACTCATGTTCTTAATGGTCATCCACAATCTTGTAACAAAAAGAGGCTTCTTCTTAATGCAGAAGCAAAAATCTTTCAACTTTTAAATGAAAATACACGAAGTGAAAATTGTTAAGGCCCTGAAAATACCATTTTTCAAATGGTAGTTTTGGTTTTCTTAAAGCCTAAAAAACACCCTTGGACCACCTCAAGAGAGAAAGTTCAGTGCCTCTTGTGAATTCTAATTATTATATAGTGCCATACATTAAGAAATCTCTCCCCACCCCCCCAAAGCCCACCAGTAAATTAAATTCAACAAAGGTAAACACTATAAATGTGATCATTTCATTTTTCTTTTTGCACTAGCTTCCAGGTGATACATCAAAGTGACAAAATGCACTAATATTACTTGTGGAAGAAAATTTTATTTTAAAATAAACCGCCACAAAAATGCAGGTATTAATTGCTAGTTTTAATATTTTTAAAGTATTTAATTACAACCTTTATTCGTGCCTCAGAGATGACATACAAAAAGATTAGCTTTAGTGAGTTCATTTACTTACATTAAAATTATGCTATTAGTCACATTTTTTATTTAGCTAGACCATTTAATCATACATATGGTGTAGCCATTTATCCTCCCTTGTTTTGTTCAGGACCTCCTTACCATCATACCCCTTAAATGATTTGCTCTTCATTTCCCTCCTTGCCAGTACAATGCTAAAGTTAAAAGCCTGGTGACTAAATTGAGGGAAGGGTCTCCTCTTTCCTACAACACTTTGGGGTTCTGTACCACTTCACAAAATAATGCTATACTATTCTGGAAAGAAATGGACATACTATTCAAAAATAAATCATCTTCCCTGGTGTAGCAACTAAATGTTTTCACATTAACTTCCATTTAATAAATCCCAGGAAGGAGGAGATTCCAAATCTCATCACCTTTTTTAATTCGAAAAGCACTGCTTCCATGAAAATTAAGTATTGGATTAATAACATTTACTGTATTACAATGATTCCTACAAATATTCCAAAATGAGCACAAAGATTTTTTCCCCCATTTCTGTGATCAGCTGCCTACTGTCAGTTTTAACTGGAGCTGGAAAACAGAAGGCTTAAGTAAACTGAAAGTCACCACTGAATTTTAAAATAGGGATATTTAAATAATTCTTCTTGAAGGTATTTTCTTTACCAGCCATTTAGTTTTACCCTGAAAAAAGCTTGAAATAAAAAAAAAAAAATTAGTATTTAAAGCACTATACAAAATAAAAAAGAAAACAAGCCAGACAAAGGAGTAAGGTACATTTCAATTTAATCACTGTGCACACAAATTTATAAAACTGCTAGACACGTTTTAGGTCGCAAAGGAGACTCAAGAATTCTTGTTCATGTCTTAATATCTTAAACCATGGAAATTTGGCTACTCACTCTCTTCACTATCACATGCATTTAAAGTTAAATACTTACCAAATTTTCAATGTCTGCTTGTCCTTGCTAGGAAAGGACAGAGTTCCTTAGAAATTTACTTCACCTTAAATCTTAAAGACATAAATTGAGGGTCCATATTTTGTTTAGTGCTTATGTATAAGAATACATCACCATTATCACATACTCAGATATCAACTTTCAGATTTTAGAACACTATCATTGTTTATACTTAAAAGCATTAGAGTCCACTGTTCATTATTGGTTTACAAAGATCAGCAACTGATACAATGTGACATTAGCTAGAATATGGCTAAAAACTAGAGGGAGAAAAAATCCATGTGTTACACTGGGGGAAGGTATTAAACAGGGCATAAGTAACTAAAAATTTATTCAGAGGCTAATTTTCACTTGTATACAGTGTCTCAGAAACCAGTATTTCTAATCCAAGCTTTTCATGCAAAGTTAGTGATTTAAGAATACACTGAAAGACGTACCAGGAAGAATAGGACTTCATAAATTACATAAATGTCTAACCACTATAGTGTACACTTGAAACTAATATAAAATACTGAACATCAACTGTAATTTAAAAATAAAAAAGTTTTTAAAGAACACACTGGAAATTTTCAAGCCCCACTCAAAGAGAACCCTGTAAGCAATTAGCCTGCATAACCATATTTTTAAGGCTAGCCCTCCTGCAACCCCACCCTCAGTTTAACTGCTCACAAATCACTACAACAACAGCTTCAAACAAGAAAATAAACAGGAATTCTGGTATTTAATTATTAGGCCCATGCAATGTGGGAACCAAAAAGCATAGGAAAAAATCTTTCGGCTACCAACTAAAATTTTAAGCTTAAAACAATTATAAAAGCTAGCCTTTTATAAAACCTTTTCGATTTCGCCAAAAGAAAATAATTTATGTGTTAAAAGATTTTGTAGTTATAATCTGTGAAGTGAAAATCAGAAAAAAAGGTGAACCTAGATCGCCAGGGAAATTTAAGGAGGTAAAATAATCACTTTCTTATTCTTAATATTCCCAATCCGGTTAATATCTAAAAAGAGTGTAGAAATTCAGATTGCTCACTCTTTGATAAGTGTCCCCATTCCAGTTAAATTTAAAAGGAAAAACTGTAATATATAAAAGTATAAAATAGTACTCACCAGAAAAGCAGCTTTAAAGAGATGGTTTTAAGGAAAACCATTTTCACTGTATCTACGCCATTTCTTATACAGATTAAACTGTGAAAGGCAATGAAACTTAAGCCCTTAGGCAATTTTATATTAAAAAACAAGTGGATATCTTATAAAATATATTTTATTATCAGTTGATAAATTGAGATTTTTAAAAAATTTAATGGAACACATGACTTCCATATAAAACAATGCTTTTTTCCAGTGGCTAATCACCATCCCACTTTAATAGGAGTACAAGATAAGCTAGTTTTATGGACAGACTGTCTCCAATTAAACATCAGTACCCTTAAGGTATAAAGGAAGAAGCCATGCATTCCAATCAGTGCAACAGGTTGGAAGGATGGTTCAGGCTTGAAGTTCATTCTTCTCTACTTGGTATTTAAAATTTTTATCAACACAAGAACAAAATATTTAAAGGTTAAAGGAAATCTCTCAATGATGGTTCAAGACAATTAACTCTTTAGAATCAATAAAAATAATAAGAACTTTAATGTATCTTACAATCCATCACATCCCTGATGCCCCTCAAAAGAAACATAAAGAATCTATCTAGATTTCTTGATGGGTAGTCAGCTTTCATTTGAATATTAAAAGGTTTGTTATTCTTAGTTCAAAGTAAAATAAACCCATGGTGGTGGTGCACCAACAGAACAGGTTATAGATTAAGAAATGAACAAAATTAGTACTTATTTACAGCCAGTTACTAAAAACACTTAGGAACAAAAAAAGCAATATAAAAACATTTTCTAGCCTATGACTACACACCATTAATCACTGCTAGAGGTGGGGAAACTGGACTTTTTAGGTTGATTCACTCTGTAAAGTTAAAAGGTAAATGAGTACCACCACAGAAGAGGCTCAAGTAAAAGACCCTGGACTCAAAGCCTTGCACTCTGTATTACATACCAAAATGAGCATACAGCCAATACAAATTTCACTCTTTTCCTTTTATGCACAATATATCTATTTACATTCAACCACAACCAGATAATAAAGGAACAAGACACCTTTATTACAACTGAAGTTATTTAGCAAACCTAGAGCTAACTGGCCCAACTATTGAGTGTTTGAAAGTGTCCAATGGATTTATTAGTTATACTCACATTTAAGTAACTGCACAGCTTTCTTCCTTGTGTGGGTTATATGGATATGTTTGAAAAAAATAGGAACATCAGGTACTTACAGATTAAACTAACCTGTACTGGCAGGGCTGTGGGATTTTTCTTCTCTACCAGTAAGTAGCAAATGCTGAAATTCTGCTGCTAGTTAACAAAAACACAAATTGTATTAAACTGAGGAGGAGTTCAATCCATACTTTAAAAAGTCAATGTGCATTAAATTTCCTCAGAGCCTGACATTAATACATTAAAAATTTTTTCCCTGTCTTAAAAAAAATTACTTTACATTGACTGTTATTTAAGTGACCTTATGAGAATTAATAGCACTACATATCTCTTGGACACAGCTCAATTTTAATAAACTATATATTTCAATGTATTACATGAAAATTCTGTTTACTCTAAAAAAGAGGGAGCATGTATCTAGGGAAAAATCTCTTCAATTCTACATTTAAGTATTTGTAGACACACCTTATAGAAGAAAACAATTTTAAATAATTTTTAATTGCTTTCAAAAACCTTGATTTCACTTTCTCATAGAATTTTAATTTCAAAAACATTGGCGGAATAATAAATTTACTGCTTTTCCTGCAAGTACACTAAAACAAGCTAATAGCTAAAAGGGAAGTCTTTGTTCACTAACTACATGACCCATTTTTTTCTAACTCAAACTTACAGAATTTTATTATAGCTTTCCTTGGTTCACTTGGGTAATTGAGCAGCCTTATTTTATTAGTGGACTGGGAAATGATGCTGCATATCTTATTTTCATCTCTGACTGCTGTACCATTTGTTAATAGAGAATGAGACTGTATTATAATAAATGATTTGGTGAACTTTAATTACA